AGGAGCTACCTTTACATTGATTGTTTAAACTTGTCAATCTGAAATGAATGCCTTCTTTTCATTATCTTTTGATATTTTAAGCCGGCTCGTAGATAATAAACTTTGCATACAAAAAGTCGTCAGTTTAAAAAACACTGCACAGTGCAGTCGAAATTAATTGCACCGCGTGACTTGTAAATATTACGCTGGCATTTTTTGAATGACTATTAAATTTATGTTGAAACTTGTTTAAAATTATAGCTAAATCACTTTTGAAAATAATTTACATAAAAAGGAATGTCATTTCTTACTGCACGGTGCACGTCAAGTCGAAATAAAACAAAACGCGGACTTGGCCGTTTTTTCACACTTCGTCGCAATCAATAGTTGTTTTCGAAAAGAAAAAGATTTTTTTCTCGGATAATTTTTTAGTTTCCGGTCAAAAAGTAAATAGAAAAGTCAATTAAGACAACCATATTAAGAAATAAAGAATTCTACTTATTTTTTTGACCTAATTAGCATAATACAACGTTCTAAGCGACCAAGAGACCGGAATTATTTCCAACCGCAAAACGAAAAAATATAATTTTACTTTTTGTGACATTCCGTTATTTTTCGACCCGATAACGAAGTGGCAAAGCATCTTAGTCCGCTGTCAACTTGACGTGCGGTGCAATTAAAAAACATTGCACAGTGCAATCAAAAAAACATTGCACGGTGCAATAAAAAAATATTGCACTGTACAATAAAAAAACAGCGCACGGTGCAATAAAAAAAAACTGCACAGTGCAACGAAGAAACGTTGCACTGTGCAATCAAAAAACATTGCACGGTGCAATTAAAATATACCGCACAGTGCAATCAAAAACATTGCACGGTGCAATCAATTTTTCCTGCACATCTATAAATTTTTAAATGTTTGAAATGCCATTGATATGACGAACGTTTCACTACAATGACAGCTGTACTTTCAATCGTTTTTTCTGCTAAAAATGTAAGTTTGGCTTCGGATTAGCCGGTTTCACTCGGTCGTATTCGCGGATTTACCATGAAAAACATAGTAAATACAATGACCGAAAGGTTACGAGGGTTTTAGAATCCGTACGGTAAGCCTTGTCTACAGTGGATTTAGGTATACTTAGGCAACGGTATTTAGAATTAAAATTTGTGCAACCGGTTGGTGCTAAAAATAGTTGATACAGAGGGTATGATAGGATAGAATAGATGTTACAGAGGGCAAGGTAAGATAGAGTAGAGTAGAGTAGGGTACAATAGGGTAAAGCAAATTACTAGAAAAACATTTTTTTACATTTTTGTTTATTGAAAAGTCCAAAAAAGTAGGTTTATCAGACGAAATTCGCAAAAAAGTGCCCGGAAATAGGCTATTTTTCAAATTTTAGAATAACAATGTTCATAAAAGCGGTCATAATGCAACCGTTCTTCGTACTAGCACATCTACAACAAACTTTTAAATCATGTTTTGCAATGATTAAGACAGGTTTAGACTTCCATTTTTATTATTGTCTGTTTTAGGTTTTGTATTTAATGTTATTGCCATTTTTTGTTTTGTAAATAAAGTTCTTGCCATTTTATGTTTTGTAAAGAAAGTTTCTGCAGTTTTTAACAAAAGTACACATTATAGTCTGTAAATCATAAAATACGTTTCAAGAGTGGCTGTTACTAATCTTTAGTAGTAAAATTACATTTTTGATAAGTAATATCTTTATTGCGTAATTTCGACCATAATCCGGCAATGATTGTATAATTGTCGACGTAAAGCCGAAGATCGTACCTTTGGAGAGAAAATACTTTTTGGGCTTTTGAAAATAAAAAAAAATTAAAAAAATATTTAAAAGTTTTAAGGATTTTCTTTTTTAGAATAGGATAGAGTATGGTAGTGTAGGGTAAAGGAAAAGATGGAATAGTAAGGTTGGTTAGAGTAAAGGGTAGAAAAAGACCAGGTTGGGTTGAAAAAGGTAGGGTAGAGTAAGGTAACATAGGTCAGAGTAGAAGAAAACAGTAGTTCAGGGGGAAGAAGCTAGAGTATGGTAGGAGAAGGTAAAGCAGAGTAAAAGAAGTTAGGGCACAGTCAAAAAAGGTAAGATAAGGAAGAGTAGGGTAGCAGGGAAAAGGTAGGGCAAAGGCAGGGGAAAGGCAGGACAAAGGCAAGGCAAGGCAAGGCAAAGCAAGGCAAAGCAAGGCAAAGCAAGGCAAGGCAAGGCAAGGCAAGGCAAGGCAAGGCAAGGCAAGGCAAGGCAAGGCAAGGCAAGGCAAGGCAAGGCAAGGCAAGGCAAGGCAAGGCAAGGCAAGGCAAGGCAAGGCAAGGCAAGGCAAGGCAAGGCAAGGCAAGGCAAGGCAAGGCAAGTGTAGGGCAAGCAAGGGTAAGATAATGTAAATCCAGGGCTAGGGGCTATTCTTCGAAAACTTCAAAAATCAAATTTCAAATGCTGCCTTATCTAAAAAACGTCAGATATTCGATTAAACTTGGTTATTTTTCTTTGAAAAATTTGTTATGGCCGACAAAAAGTGGCACTTAATTAAAGGCTACTTATGTTCGAATCCTGATAATGTTTTCACGTGTTCTTGAATGAATTTAAAAAACAAAAACCTTATTTATTATTTACCTTACTGTTCATTGAACTTTTTTACTAATTTTTTTACTTTTTAAAAAATTTTTTTACCTTTTAAAAATTTAATTTTAATTTTTTTGAAAAACAGGTTTCATCGTATAATATGTCCTCAACTAGTTTTTTGTTTTTATTAAGGTATATGTGACATCTAAGACTAGCTTTGTTGTAAAATACGATATAAAAATTCAGTTTACAAAAAAATAACTTTCAAACAATTTAAAATTTAAATTTTCCGCCAGAAATTTCAAATCTTGGCATTCTGTTTCAACCTCATTTTTGGCAATTCCAACTCATTATTTTAATACAAAACGTCTTTTCAGACGCCAAAAACATGTTTTTTAGAGTATTTTCTAATCAGTGTTTAGTCTGTACTCGACCAAAGTTGAGCTCATTGGGTATTCATAATATGAAATTACTCATTCTGTAGCTACAACTTGCGTTTTTTAATCATAGCTTAACACTGGTTTGTATTTTTTGGGTACAAAGTAAATTTTAATCTAACATTGCACTAGCCTTATGTTAGAAGCTTAGCCGTAGCCCAGAGCCATAGGCGAGAGCTCTAGTCCACAGCCCTAGCTCTAGCTCTAGCTCTAGCTCTAGCCGTAGTTCTAGCTATACTTCTAGCTTTATATGTCACATGTCATAAGATGTGCCAAGTGCAAGAATTTCGAGAATTGTAACTCTTTGTAGACATTGAAACGATAATTACAGCTTTGAAACCACCGATTTAGCTGACGTTCCTTTACAAAACAGTTACAATTACATTTCGAAAAGACTATTAGAGTGAGAAAGATATTTTTTAACTACTTTTATTATCGGTTTTTGGCTGTAATTAGTCGGCTTTCTGTGGTTGTAAATAATTATTTTTAAGTTTATACAAGAGAATACGCATATTGTTTATGATCTATAACAATATTTTTAAATAGATATTATAAAACGTTATAAAATTATTAAAAATCAATATTTATGAGTTTTGAGGCTATAAAACAGAATGCCAAGTTTGGCGCCAAAAATAAAAATTTAAAATTTTTTGAAAAAAAATTTTATTTGATAAATAAAATACTGTTAGTGATATATTTTTTACAATAAAAATTGTTATTTTGACTTTAGTTAGAGCTTTGAAACAGAATGCCAAGTTTGGCGCCAAAACAAAAATTTAAAAAATTTTTAAAAAATCAAATAAAAACGACACTTTGGGCCTATAAAACCATTTTTTAAAAGTTTTTAAACCTCAAAATGTGTTTAAAAATTTTTTTTGTTATATTTTGTTCCGTAAACAAAGTTTTCGCCCAACCTTTACAATTGCAACAAAGTAACATGCAATATACCTCAATTACCAATAAATTTCCAAAGTAATGACAAATAATTATTGTTTCCAAATTATGCCACGTTCACTAGACATGATACTACTTGTAACACAAAAACAGTACGATTATTGTACGATAGCGTGAACGTTCCAACGAATTTAATATCAATTGACAGTCGTTTCGAATGTCAGATTTCAATTTACCGAGCAGGAAATGAATTACTCGTTAATAAATTTGTTTTTCAAAAATTTCGTGCCTCAGGCAGATTAAAAGTTAATTACACGGAAAAACGGCTAAAAAAATGTAGGGAAAGCGCAGAAACTTTGTTTACAAGAGAAATCTTAATGATTTTGGTATTGATGGTCAAAGTATAGCAAGGCTAAGGGCTCTAAGCTAAAACTTTGGTTTAGGACTCTGGGCTAGGGCACTGAACTATTACTCTAGGCTAAGGATCTGGGCTAGGGCTCTGGGCGAGGGCTCTGGGCGGAGTTTCTAGACTAGGGTTCTGGGCTAGAGCTCTGAGATAGGGCTCTGAGCTAGGGCTATGGGCTAAGGCTCTGGGCTATGACTCTGGGCAAGGGCTTCGGGCTAGGCTTCTGGGTTAGGGCTCAGGGCTAGGGTTTGAAGGTAGGGCACTGGGCTAAGGCTAAAAAACAACGTTTTTTTCAAATTTTTATAACAAAAACTAAAAAAATTGTCAAAAAATGTCATATTTTACCCAGTTTGTACCAAAAACAAACTTTGCCAACCTTTATACGACATTGTTGTTGTTCTTAATTAACCAACCACCATTATTCGAATTCGAAGAAAACGCCATTGTAATGCTAATACGTCTCGATCGGGTATTGTAAAAGCGGATGTACTCGAATAATCATTTTTATATCCGTAGTATTATGATAATACACCTAGAGTATTATGATACATTCTCTGTGTAGTGTTATGATAATATACCTAGAGTATTATGATACATTTGGATTACAATGAGACGTTCTACTTGTAGTATTACGTTACATTATGTTCGTATTAGTGCTCTTTACAGCTATGTTAATGTAGACAGATGAAAGAACATTGTTTTGTTCATATACTAAAGAACGAATCTTAGTATATCAAGTAAAACGTACGTAGCTTTAACCTTAGCCTTAGTCTTAGCCTTAGTCTTAGCCTTAGTCTTAGTCTTAGTCTTAGTCTTAGTCTTAGTCTTAGTCTTAGTCTTAGTCTTAGTCTTAGTCTTAGTCTTAGTCTTAGCCATAGCCTTAGCCTTAGCCTTAGCCTTAGTCTTAGCCTTAGTCTTAGTCTTAGTCTTAGCCATAGCCTTAGCCTTAGCCTTAGTCTTAGTCTTAGCCTTAGCCTTAGCCTTAGTCTTAGTCTTAGTCTTAGTCTTAGTCTTAGTCTTAGCCTTAGCCTTAGTCTTAGTCTTAGTCTTAGCCTTAGTCTTAGCCATAGCCTTAGCCATAGCCTTAGCCTTAGCCTTAGCCTTAGCCTTAGCCTTAGCCATAGCCTTAGCCTTAGCCTTAGCCTTAGCCTTAGTCTTAGCCTTAGCCTTAGTCTTAGCCATAGCCTTAGCCTTAGTCTTAGTCTTAGTCTTAGCCTTAGCCTTAGCCTTAGCCTTAGTCTTAGTCTTAGCCTTAGCCTTAGCCTTATATTTTCAAAACCTGAACTTCACCTTCATTATACCTTAGTTAGACTCTAATTCACTTATCACAAGCCTTAAGGTAACAAAATTAATCGTCATTTTTGTGACAAAAAACAACTTGTAATTAAATCTATCTTCTGTCGGTCCGGTAAAGCAGGATTGTTAGTTACAAAATGTGAGAGTTAATTAAATATTTAATTTGAATATTCATGAAAAGCACCTGTTGCAACATTTTTCATTAAAAATGACAAAAGAAATTCAAAAAAATATTTTTAATGCTTCAAGGTCAAATTTTGTCAAATGTCATGAAAAGTCTTGTCATGGGAGAGTGTAAAGAAAGTTTTTGCTGTTTGGACATTGTAAACAAAGTTTTTACTATTTTTTTAAGCTAAAATTTTTTTTTATTTTTTGTTTGTGCTGGGCATGGTATTTCTTTAAAAACTTTTTTTTTGTTTAAAAAAAACTGTGCCCCTAAGAAAAATTGTTTTTTAAGATAGCTCAGAATTAATTGAACGACTTAATATTAGGTTGTTCAAAAACTTCTGTGCTATATATTATAGTTTGGAAAATTTGATTTGAGATGGGGCTCAGAATTTTTTGAACAGTTCAGTACTAATACCTATACCTATAAAGCTCTTTTTCTTGCTTATAACAATCAAAAAACTTTTTTTATTTTTTTTATAATTTTGTATTTTAAAATTTCCAAGTTTTTTAAAAAATTTAAATTTTTTTTTTCAAAATTTTGTAATTTTTAAAGTTACAGTAATCCAAATCAACAAAGTGTAATTATTTTTTTTTTATTTTTGCCAAAGTCAAAAGATTCGCTTGATGTGACCCCGCCTCAGGGCATTTCACACTTGTAACGGGCGAGAAGTGTGTGGGGCGGAGTCGGCCTTGAAACCGCAATGAACATGTCTAAAATAGTTTTAATAGTTCTCGTATCATATGCTGGGGATGATATATGGCGAAGCTGAGTATGGTATATGGTGTGGCTGAGCTGTAGTTTGTTCTGAAGACTTTTAATTTTGTAAAGTCATCTTATATTGTAGTAGAGGCTGTGATATGATTTTGTTGTAAGGGTTGTTGTTCAAATTATTCTGAGCCTCTCAACGTTGGAGGGTATGAAAGGTTCGAGAAAAGTGGGGTATAGTGGAATAGTGTAGGGTAAAAAATTTCTTTGAGAGTGGGGCACAGAAATATTTGAACAACGTAGTACCTCGACTATTTGGGTAACTTTTTTGTTTTTATGTTGCCACATCTTTATTAAATGTCGTAACACTGTAATATATTACTTTTTACATTCTCTCGTGTCTTGCTAACTTACTACAATAACTTTTTTTTTAATTTCTATGTCTAGACTTTTTCAAAAACATCATTATATATTGCTTATCCTTGCCTCTCTTACTTAATACTTCCACTTCTTTACGTTGCTACAGTAATACTATGCCACATACAATATTAAACCCAATTATTTTAGTTGTATATGACACTTATACAACTAATATTAACGAAAAAACATGTCATTTTATTCATTTCGAACCTTTTTTGACTCATTTTATATTATTCATGGTGCCATGTTTTCATACGATGCCATGTTTTTATTTACGCCATGTCAACACGATGTAGGTAAATACGTTTGGTATTGACTTTATACGCAACTGGCGATACGATAACGTGTTTTACATTGTTTTTCCTTAATTTTGTTTTTGTAAAATACGATAATTCAAAATTTTGTTATTTGGGGGTTAGTTAGTCATGGTGAATATAATTTTTAAGTTTTTGTTATGTAAACCAATATTTGTAGTAAAGTATGACAGTATATTATTGTTCTTACGTACCTTGACTACAATTTACATTGTTTTGAATTTAAACTGCCCTTTGTATTTTGTAGAAAATTGTACTTTACCGCGAACAGCCTTCTATATTATGCTTAAACTCTAGTTTACCATAATATATATTACATCATATCACACCACAAACCATAGTTAAACACTACAAATTTTAGGTACGGATACACGATAAAGTCGAAGAGCTTCCACACTCACTTGAACCTTAAACCTACCCCACCAGGGTTAATTACACACACTTTTACCCCGCCCGTACAGAAATGATTCAGACGATAGTTGTTGCTTTGTTAGTCTGTATTTTGGCTACTAGCGGTTCGGCCAAGCCCATGGTTTCGACAGAGCATGGTAAGATAGTTACATTTATAGCTTTTTTAAAAAATTTGAAAAAATTGCGAAGAAACTTTGTTTACAGACTAAAAAGTAGGAAAAAAAAGGCTGGAGTTAGGAGTAACTTACAGAAAAACTGACAAAACTTTTCGTACAATCAACGAAAATTGATCCGCTGAGATTTTTTAAAACCACAAGAACTTTCTTTACAACAACCTTTTTTTCAAACTTTTAAAATTTTCGCAAAAACTTTTTTTACAAGCGAAAAAGTTAAGAAAAATGGCAAAAATCGGAGATAATTTTTAGAAAACCCGCAAGAACTTTCCTTACAGCATCTTTTTCAAAATTTAAAATTTTATGCAAAAACTTTGTTTCCACCGGCCAAAAAATTCCGAAAATCTTTCAAAAATACGTGATTAGTTCCCGGTTACCTTTGGTGGTAATACTGTTTACATGCGATTAAGAAACAAGAATAGAACATCCCCTGAGGGTCATGAGATTTTCTGGCGGATTAGAACACAACATTCTGAGCATACGGAATTCAATGAGAATACCTTAAGGGTGGTTTCGAAATTTTGAATTTTGGAGTTTTAGGCCTTGAGGGCAAATTATTAAATATTAGGAGGTTTGAGACGGTTATTATGGCCAATGGGTAGTGTTACATTAAAAATTTTTTATAAATTTTTAAAATTTGTGAGAAATTTGATATTTTTCTAAATTTTTTAAAAAAATTTTGAAAATTCGAAAAAAAATTCAAATTCAAAAAAAATTTTGACCCCAAAATAAGTTGTCATACGGTAGATTAACCCTGAAAATGAACTTGTAATGTTGACAAGTTGGAATACAAATTAGATTCGGCAATTTAATTAAGGAGCACATTTGTCTCGGATTAACAATGTTAACATTACAATTAGTGTAACTTCATTACATAGTGGTTCCGTTCATATGTTGATTTACAAAGTTATGACTTGTGATACCTAGGGCTAAAACATAATTTTATAATTTTTGTTATAACTGATAAAGACATCGTGGTTAATATGATGATTTTGTTAACCATGGTTAATGTGATAACTATCTTAACCATAGCTATCATGATGACTATCTTCATCATAGTTAATATCCACGTAGTTTTGCTGATTACCAAGCAATAAGCGGGTTAATCCAGCTTTGAAATGCCTTGGAAATTCATTGTAACTGGCTTAATTTTTCGAAACAACGTAATCAGCTTAACATACGATGAGATCTCAGTAACTGTGAAGATTGTTAAGCTGTGACTAAGCCTATCACAATGTAATTGATCATATCTTGTTAATTACATTGTGTAATTGGGCTTATATTGTGTATATTACTATGTAATTGAGTTACTTTGTCATAATAAGGTGGTTATCAGACTTTAATTGCATTGTGCAGAGAATGACAATTGTCTTAGCGTTAATAGGCTTAGGATTTGTTAGACAAAGCTTTGGGGGTTACTGCGTAAATTTATTTAAAAAAATTGTACCAGTTGCTCTAGTAGGCCTATATTTTCACTTTTTACCTTCTAAATCCCATTTTTCTAAAAAAAAATTTTTTGATGATTTTCCATCCCCGACCCCCTACCATAACACCCCCCCCTTGCTAACCAACGCAAAAGCCTAAACAACCCTTTCCGCCAGATGTTTTTCCAACCTTTTGAGTACCTTTTGAGCAACCTTTTCGAAAATTAAAAATTCAAAGTTCGAAGCGATTAATTAAGCCTTTTACTTAAATCCGACATCACTGGACCAGTCTTATTCGTCTTATCTTATTCATCAAAGCCAATTCGTTCTGCATAATTAATAATGCCACTTTTATTTCGATGATAATTTACTTCCCAATAGCCTGGAAGTTTGTCAACATAGTTGCTTTATTAAGGAACGTCATTATATTGCAAAAAATTTAAAAAAATTGTCAGGGACGAGGGTTATCAAAAGTAGTGAAAAAATCCACAGGGTTCAAAAAATTTTTTTTTTCAAAAATTTTTTCTAAAAATTTTTAAATGGTAATTTATTTCCCAAAAGCTAAAAGTTTGTCAACATAGTTGCTTTATCAGGGCACGTCATGACATTGCAAAAAAAAATAATTTGCAAAAGCCAAAAGCGTGATCATGCAAAAAAATCCACAGGGGGGACCAAGCTGAAATTTTTCGAAATTTTTTTTTCAAACTTTTTTTTCTAAAAAATTATTTTTTTTGACAAAACCATGCTAGAAATGCCACAAACTTCATTAAAAATTCTCCAAACATAGTCGAGTTCAAAAAAGTTTGAATTTCAAAGTATTTTAGTCCCCAGCCAAATTTATTCGCGCCGCCGGAAACGTTTAATATTCATTAGTTTGCAAAATGTTTACAGTCGAATTGGATTCAAATATTTACAAAAGTTTGAGAGGAAAAAACTTTGTTTACAAGTGGAAATTAGCATTTTAAATTAATTTTTATTTTCAAAGTTTGGGCGGAAAAACAATTAGGTAATAGGCAATTAGGTGATTTTTGGAGGTTTTGGTTAGGGTTTTGAACTTTGTTGATTTGCTAGGGGTATTTTGGGTGAAATGACGTTTTATGAGTTTGGTAATGTTTTTGGCTCCAGTGGCAAAAATTTTTGATAAAAAATTTAAAATTTAGAAAAAAAAATTTTTTTTTTAAAAATTAAATTTTTTTTTTGAAATTTTCACTTCATCACTGTAAAACATAGTAAAATCACCCCTCCTAGCAGTTTCTGTAATTAAAAATTTCCCCTCTAAAAAATTCAAAACCCCCCACCTCCTCTAAAAAATTTAAAATTACCACACCCTCAAAAAATCAAAATTGCCTTTTTCTAAAAAATTCAAAATCACCACCCCCAAAAATTAAATTTTTTAAATTACTACCCTCCCCTAAAAAATTTCAAAATTACCACCTCTTAAAACCCTCACATTTCTAACCCATACCCACTTTCAGAAGCCCAAAAACTGTACGCATTGGCAGAGCTGATCGAAGCCGAGGAGGCGGCCCATAAGCTGGAACAGCGGCTACGTCAGAGTTTGTTGCATGAGGAGCCGGCGACGTTGGCTGAGGCGTTGGACCAACTGAACGCCTATCCCCAACCGGTCGAAGGGAAGCACGGTGAAGGCAAGACGACGCCGTTGTCGCTGCAGTTCTTCGAGAAACGGTCGAAAAACTTTTTGAAGCTGGCGAATCAGGCCGCGCGCGGCTTCGGCCGCAAATAAATTCGATTCTGAAGGCGTGGGAAGTTGTTGATGAGCGGGCTGTAGCTTGTGTACGATGAGAGTAGTAATTGGTGTTGTGGTAATGTGATTGAGAATGTGAATTCTCTACCGTGGTGAATTGACAGTGTAAAATCTCTACAGTGACAGATGTTATGGGTCATTACCTGCCCTACCCTACCCTACACTACCCTGTACAGCAAGAATCACAAGTTCAATTTGAAATTACAGTAATTTTGTTACTGTACTTTATGATACTGATATGGTATTACCGTAATCTTCGATATGCCTACTAGAACGATGCTACAGTATCAATACAGTAATATGCTGCTATAGTCAAAATACTGTCGCATTACTTTCTACAGCACACCTGCCCTACTGTACGACCCTAAACTACATACTACCCTACCATCACCTACAGTACCTTTTCGATTACACTCTACTGTATCACCCCACCATCACCTACAGTATCCTTTCTATCATACCCTACAGTACCCCTCTACCATCACCTTCAGTACCCCCACTACCACACCCTACAGTACCACTCCACAACATCCCTCAGCATCATGGTACAAATCCAAAACCAAATCTTACGTACTATGTACACTACCATAAAAGTACTCTGTCATCTCTACCACCCCCAACTAGCACCACCTCCAACGCAATACCATCACACACATTCTCTCTCTCATTCTTGTACGAAGCTGACAACCAATTACAATTTAAATTATTGTAGATAGGCCAAACAAAACGTTGTATAAACATTAATATATTAATTATCGTGTGGGCTTTAAAATATAATTAAAAATTTTAAAAATTTTAGATTATATTTTTATCAAATATTTTGTTTTTCAAATAATTCTGTGCCCCAACCAGGTTTCGCTTAAGCCTGAACACAGAATTGTTTGAACAATAAGGCACAGAACTATTTGAACAATGTAACGTATAAGTATTAAGCTGTTCAAATAATTCTGTGCCCCTAACCCGTAAAAGGCTTTGAGAGGAGGCTCAAAGTTTTTTGAACAAAATTAATCATATTTTTAAAACTAAAATATTAAGTTGTTCAAATAATTCTGTGCCCTAACCTTGAAAATTTACTTTGAAAAGAAGCACAGAATTATTTGAACAACCTAATATTATCTATATCTATTAATACCTATACCCATAGACTTGTATTTTATATGTTTAGTATTATAACCATCATAAAACGTACCACAACCACAAGCACTATACGTAACGGTTAAAAATAAAATTTCAATGCCATCTTGTTCAAACGTAACTGTATACCTGCTCCATTTTTAGTAATTTTTAAATTATATTCTTCTATAGTACTATTTACTATGACATAATAAATATTTTTACATTTTTTTCGTCCATAAAAACAGATTCCACTTTTAAACCAAATTCGACCTTTAATACTCTGCATGACGAAGAAGACGTACTCATCGTACACTAATGCATCGTATGTTCTTCGGCTATGAAGAGATTTAACGTGCTATCTTTTCTTTATCCGTACTATGGTTGGACCTACCTTTTGGTCCCGCCACAACAACTGAATCGATCTCTTACATAAACGCAATAACGATATCTGAAACTACTCTGACAAGGGCCCTCCTCCCAGACCCCGTCGTCCTGCTCGGGCCTGACTCTGACTGTATTAACTACAGTGTTTCAAGTGTTCTCTGGGCGTGACTGACTCTGGCAGTATGTATAAACTATAGTAAACTGCTAAGTTATAAGTGTTTATGAAGAGGTCTAACCTACTATTCTTTACTTATACAATAATAACAAAGCTACGGAGTAGTAACAACTCATAACAACTTAAACAAACCACTAAAATTTAAGCAAAACAAACATAAAGAAGGCCAAAAACACTAAAAAGAAGAACAAAAGTACCAAAAAAACAAAAATAAAACAACAAAAACATAGAACAACTACAATATAAAGCCTAAAAATCACAAATCATTGCCAAAATAACCACAAATCAAAACTAAAAAATGATGGTATCTTTACGTTACTCATCGGCAATATGAAGCTTAAGCCGTCTGTGACGTGCAAGGTTAATCAGCACTTAATTCAAAATGGAAAGAAGTTGAACCAAATCCCTTTTCAGGTACTGTAATCTCTCGTACAAAGAGTTTACGTTCAAAAACTTCCAAGTAATCTCGCATTAAGCGCTGATTAACCCAACACGTCAGAGACAGATTTAAGCCAGCTTGTTGATGAGTAATGCGTTATAGCGTTGCTTGTAGACAAGTCTGTAGAGAAACGTATTATATTTCTATTTCAAACAGAGAAACGTATGTACTTTTGAGGTAAAGTAAAGTAGCATAGAACACGTATTAGCAGGAGAACATGCAATAATATTATAGTCCGATCAGCGTGGCTTGTAATTAAGATATTAACCGTAATATGTTTAAGATAGCACTGTTGCTGGCAGGATTTTTACTAGGTCTTACAGTCACAGTAATTTTAGATTATACTATGTTGGTCCTAGCTACTATAATATCGTAAAACCCTCTGCTTTCTTTATATTTTTATTAAAACAACAAAAAACAAAAACATCTTTAACAGTAATTTGATTAAATCTGTGATAGTACCATAAAAAATTGACATTAGTACCATCAGAAAGGTACATAATAGTAAGACAGCAAGAATTATAAGAGTACTATAACAAGAGTGCATAATAGTACTATAATAAAACTTAATAACAGTACTGAAACACAAACCATAATAGTACTGTAACATAACAATCCATAAGAGTACCAAAATCAAAAGAAAAAACAATCGGTAATCCGATAACATCAACAAGTAATTGACAACAATAACAACAATTTTAGATGAACATGAACAGATATCATGTGTTCGGCTAACAATAAGTATCTCCAAAAACAATAAGGTAAAACAAAATTTTAGGTAATACAATGGTCTTAAAGTATACTTGTACTTTTTTAAAAACAACTACATAACAATGTAGATGTTTACTGTACTTAGGGCTTACGAAGTCAATAATATTAGGTTTAGAATGTGTGACAATTGAATTGCATCAGTCCAAGTTCGTATTATCTATGTTGGATAATACGTATCTAGCACATTATTAACTAGTATTACGGTATCTGTTATCAAAGTATTAAGTAGTACTACGGTATCTGTTGCCTTCGTACAATATGTGAAAAATATCTATCACAGTGCTAATAGCACAGTATCTGATACTTTTCTATAATACTCATGTTTATATAGTACGTATACAACACAGTACTAATAGTACAGTATCAAATACATCCTTACTTCAAAACCATTATATTACCCATATCAAAACACTGTAAAAAAGACAAGACTCAAAGTATAACAAAAACTATGATTATAGTTACTGCAATAGGGCTATTACATATTTCCAGGTTTTCGTCCAGCTTGCTTTAGAAGATATGTTCTTAATGAGCGTTGTTGATCACGGAACGATCGTTGACGGTTCTTTCCTCTCACCTTTTGCCTCACCATTTGGAAGTTCTTGTTCTTGGCCATGTTGGCATTGGTTCGACCAACGTGGGGGCCCTAAAACAACATCAATTTCTTATGTAAACATCTCTTTCAATGCCTGAGGCTTTAGAGAATAGGTGATTGATCCGCCATCATCACCAACATTCAACCCCCCCCCCCGCACCACCCTTAGATATAAAACATCCCTCTGCCTTAAAAAATGCACCCTAACTCACATTGTTCTTCCTCTTCTTGTACATGTCCTTATCCCCGCGACCCTCCTTGATCTGTTCCAGTCGCTCTGCCTTGGTTTGACGTCTGATCTTCTTGTGGAAGTGTGTGATATCATTCAAACTGGTCAGTGTGGCACCTTCCGATCGTTTTCCAATGACTTCGGCCACTTCGTCCTTTAGCTTCATATCATCATTGGTCAGGTTTTTGTTCTTGAAATTGGGATTGGCGGCGGCAAGCTGTTTTCGCATCTGATGGGCTTTAATTTTCTTAAAGTCTTCGTCAGTAAAGATACGATTCTCGGAGAGGGAGCGGGCTTTCTCCAACGCTGCTTCGGCCGTAAGTTTCTGAAAATGGTTCGACTTTAATTTTTTCATTTTGTTACCTAAAACATAAGAAAAACCTAATTTTAAACCCCTTATTTTTATAGAAATAACCTTGATTAATACCTAAACCATCAAAAACCTTCGTTTTGTTACCCAATCTACTCTAAAACTTATCAAAAACCCTTACCTTCTCCAATTTCTTAGCCTTTTTCTTCTCGGCTTTAGTAGCAAAAGTGACCTTTTTCATCTTCTTAGTTACCGGTTCATCTGTTTCTTCATTCTCATCTTCATCTTCCTCTTCTTCATCATCATCTTCTACTCCTTCTTCATCACTTTCTATTTCATTATATTCATCTTCAGCTCCTTCCAGCTCATTTTCATCATCTTCTACCCCTTCTTCATCGTCTTCCACTCCTTCTTCATCATCCTCCACCCCTTCTTCATCATCATCAACATCATTTTCGTCTTCCGAATCCGTAGCAATCTCAATTTCCGACCCAGAATCATCGATATCGATCCAACTGGATTCAGAATCCTCACTTTGTTGACGTTTCCTCTTCCTCGACGGCTTCTCTTCGGCTTCTGGCGCTTCGTCTTCGTTTAGAACTTCAGCTCCGGGCAAGAAATCAAGTGCATCATTCTGGCCAAATTCGGTTTTGAAGTGTGAATCGGCGTCTGTAGGCCGTCCACGGTACTTGTTACGAAGCATGGCTGGATTGACGGCTCTGAAGAGTTGAAGCAAGCCACGAGCTGCCATCGACACGTTCTTGTTTTTGTAGTTTTTGTACTGAAATTTGAGAAGTGGTTAAAAAATGTATGTTTATATGGCTCTAGTAAAGTAACTTTTTAATTTTTCAAAAAAATTCAAAAAATAAAAAAAATTTTTTCCAAAATTAAAAATTAAAATTTTTTTTTTTCAAATTTATATTAACCTACCTCAGACAGATCCTCCAGTACATCAGACGTAGCGGCAAACGGGCAATTTGCAAAGATCTCTCTGATTGCATTCAATCCCACAGTGATCGCTTCGTGTGAATTGTTATCAGAGACAAAGTTATTCGAAATGACTTTGATTAGACCTTCGACTAGATCACTTGGTACGGTTTCGTGGCAAGCTTGTGCTGCGTACAACAATATTCTCGTCACTTCCTTTTGTTTTGGCTGTAGAAACTTGTGAAGGTAGGAATAGAAGCCCAAGACCTGTAGTTGATGAACTCCGATCAAGCGAGCGACTAGAGCCATGTAGAGGAGGCGGACTACGTAGCGTTCGTTTTTCTTACCTAAAATTTGAAAAATTTGTAATAAAACTGTATTCAGATATCTAAGTTTAAAAAATAGATTAAAGTCGACATTTTATACGGTGAAGCATGTCCTCCTTTCAAATCCTTTTCCCCAAAAACCTTTGCTAAAACCTCAAAAAAACTTGCAAAAACTTACTTTCCAGCGCAGCAAACAGTCTCTCACACAAAGTTTGTGGATCATACAACATTCTCATCGCTTCCAGGTTGCAATTCTTTCTGTTCTTCTCTTTCTTCTTCTTCTTTTCCTTGTTTATGGCCTTCTTGGCGTCCTCCAACTGTTTCGCTCGTTTTTTGGTCTTTTTGGTGTGACGAAAAGCTGTCATAACTTCCTTGATGGTCTTTTTATCTTCACCTTCTTCCTCCGAATCCATGTCCGAGTCAGAGCCTTCGCCGTTCTCTTGTTCCGAGCTGCCGAGGAAGAAGCGCATCGCTGTTACCTACAACAACATAAAGTTTTGTGCCATTTTTGAATTGGCTAAGTTCGTGAAAGTTGTAAAACGTAGCTTGTTACACTTTGCACTATCTTATGTTATCCCTTTTTTTCCAAAAACGTCCCAATATTCCTCCAAAAACCATTAAGAATATCAAAAAATTGCCCACAAAACCGTCAAATTTAGCCAAAATCTTGCAAAAAACAATAAATTTTGCCAAAATCTCCCCTCATAACCCTCATCTTTACCTGGATTTTCGTGTGTTTGTTAAAAACACATTGTGAAATAGCATTGGCAGTTTTGGCATCGCGCCAGAACTGCCGTCTGAAGGCATCAATCAAAATGAGTTCGGCCGAACGAGCAATTATGGCTCGACTGTCCTTGATTTTGGCGAAAACAAAGGCTTGAAACTTGGAGTCTGGTCGGTGGAACTTCTTGTGATGACGTCGAATGAAGCCGATGATGGCGCCCAGTAGAAATTTTCTAAAATTTTAAATAAAACTTGTAAAAAAGTTTTAATTTAACGTAAAATTACCAAAAAAACTTATATTCCATTGTTAAGCCTAAAATTTCAGTTTTAAGAATAAAAATCATTTTAAGCCTAAAATTCATTTTTAAGCCAAGAATTCATTTTCACGCCTAAAGTTCCGTTTTTAAGCCTAAAATTCGTTTATAAGCCAAGAATTCATTTTTAAGCCCAAAAGTTCCTTTCCAAGCCTTCCAAGATCCTAAAAAGCATCCTTAAAAATTTAGCTTAAACAACCAGTCCCTACCTCAATGGCTTGTCCTCGCACTTCAGTAGCTCAAAAAACAAATTCAGCGTTTGATCCATATCGATCAAATTCCGATTTCTTAACGTAACAATAGCCTTGATGAAAGCCAATCGTACATTTGGGTCTAATGCGCTGCCTTGGGCCCGAAGGGTTTGATCCAAGTTTTCTCCAAAGGTTCGGGCGTTTTCTAAAAAATTTTTTTTTTGATTTTATTTAAAAATTACTTCTTAATATTGCAGTAGGATGTACATTAACGTCACTAAAAATAAAAAAAATTATCGAAAATCCACCCCCACCAAAAAAACTTTTTTACCTCGCCCGCTCCAAAACACCATCCTCCACTAACCGCTAATCCCAGCTCCCCCATATACCATCAAATAAACCTCAACCTACCCGGAAAACAGTAAGCAACTCCACTCAAGAACGTTGTCAGCTCAAGCAGTGGTTGAACGTCCATCCGATGCATGGCTGGTTGGATCTGTAGCAGCTTGCCAAGTTCGATGAAATGTGTCATTTGCTCGTCGAAGTCATCTTTGTAGGATTCTGGATCCTTTCGTACAAATTCTCCTAGTAAACCGAGGTTGTCTCCGTCCAAACGAGCGCCAGTCTTTGGCTGAATCTGAAGCTGGGGAGCAGCCTTTGGTGCCGGTCTTAATGTCTTCAGCATTCTGAAAACTAAAAAAATCAAAGTTATAGTCAATTCCGGAATAAAGTGTCGAAAAATAACTGCAAAATTCAAAAAATTCGAAATTTTCAAAAAAAAAATTCGCAAAAAAATTTGTCCACTCGTATTTTACAATCCAAGATAATCATCTGTTCAAAACAGGTATCAAAACGCAAAGAAAAAACGATTCATATACAGCATATATTAGGTTAATTTATTCGTAAACAATTAAATTACAAAATAATAATAATAATATATGAAAAAGAAGGCCAAAGCGTCGCCTTCCTCAACCGAATGATACAATAAACAGGCACTTTTGTTCCTTATAATTTACATTCGAGTAAATCAAACTGGTCAATGCTAAAACAAGAGTTGGAATTCGATTGGCGAATTTCGTAGTTTAGAGTATAATATCATCATTTTTTAAAGTTAAAGTTTGTTTCTTAGCCTAAAATTTCAATTTTAAAAGTGAAATTCAGTTTTTAAGCCTAATTATATTTTTAAGCCTAAAAGTCTCTTTCTAATTCTGAATATACCATTTTACGCCTAAAATTCATTTTTAAGCCTACAAATTCATTTTTAAGCCTAAAAACTAATTTTTAAGCCATAAATTCATTTCTAAGCCTAAAACTTCATATTTAAGCCTAAAATTAGTTTTTTAGCCCAAAAACTCATATTTAAGCCTAAAATTAATTTTTTAGCCTAAAAACGCATTTTTAAGCTTTAATTCCACTTTTAAGCCTAAAATTAATTTTTCAGCCTAAAATCTCAGTTTAAACCTAAAATTCAATTCTAAGCCTAAAACTTCATTATTAAGCCTAAAAACTCTTTTTTAAGCCTGAAATTCCATTTTGAATCAAAAGATTTTACTTGTAAGCCGAAAATTCATCGTTACTCCAAAACCTTACACTACTGCCATTTCCATTCCAACTCAACACCAAAACTTTACAATACTCTAATGTAATCCAAAAAAGAATTAAGAAAACTTTAAAATTGAGCAAGCTATTTTCGCATGAATATTTTTTAAGCGCTCGGTAATAACTTAGCATAACTACAAATAGACAATTTACAAAAGATGACCAATTGTGTTAGTCCTCGTTTGGGATAACGCGTTGATCAAACCTGTGATTGATGAGATTCATTCGCGGCTTTTTCATCGCTGTACAACGGCTTCGAGTCTTGAACCGCGTCGTATAGGACACTGAAAATTTGATTAAAAGTTAATATTTAAAAAAACAAGTTGATAAAAAAGTTCTTGCCGTTTTTTCGTTTGTAAAGTTCGTGCCATTTTTTTGTTTTGTAAAGAAAGTTCTTGCCATTTTCAGTTTTGTAAAGAATGTTCTTGCCATTTTTTGTTTTGTAAAGAAAGTTCTTGCCGTTTTTTGATTTGTAAAGAAAGTTCTAGCCACTTTCTGTTTTGTAAAGAAATTTCTTGCCATCTTTTGTTTTGTAAAGAAAGTTCTTCCTCCCCCCCCGTATAAACCTTTTTTTACCCCGCCCTCCACCACCAAAAATTTTTTTTAAAAAAAAATTTGGCATGCCCCCCCTTCTTTTCCTCAATTCCATCATTTTTTACCACTACCCCTATCGTTGGCCTCTCCCTAGTCCTCCCGCCTTACCCAGAAAGAGTGTCCCATTCGCTTGGTTTAACATTCTTCAAGCTATCGTGCACTTCGAAGAGTTGAGCGCTGCCATTCGAGCCCAGCCCCACCACATAATGTCCGTCGCGGCTCCAGCACACTTTACTGACCAGTTGGCCAAATTCCATCGCGGCCACCGGATTCTCCGTGTCCATATTCAGATTCCACAAGAAAAACTTGCCATTCATTGAGGCCGAGACGAAGACGGCTGGGTGGATTGGTGACCATTGGACGTCGGTGATGAAACTGTAGCCATGTTTGTGCGGGAATGACAGGACGGGCCGTGGTGCCACCGACTGGCTGGTTTTGTCGGTTGGGTCGGGCTTGGGTTGATCTTGTAGGTTCCACAAGTGCATATCAAAGTCCATTGAGCCGGTGAGACAGTAATTGCTAAAATCTGTGGCTCCTGATGCTTTGTGTAGGGCTACTGATGTTATTGGGCCTTCGTGCACTGAAATGAAAGTTGTAATTTTTCTCATATGAAGTTATAGCATAAAAAGTCATCTAACGGCCTAAAATACATTTTCCTAAAAATTCATTTATAAGCTTAAAGTTCATTTATAGACTTAAAATTTCATTCTAAGCTTAAAATTAAACATTTAAACCTAAGATTTCATTATGAAGCATCAAAGTCAACATTAGGCCTAAAAATCTACTTTTAATATTAAAGTTTATTTTTAAGCCAAAGAAATCTCTTTTAGGCCTAAATTTTATTATTCAAGCCTAAAATTTCAATTTTTTCAATTTCCTAAAAAACCTACTCAAAAACTCTGTCGGCACGTTGTTATGACGTTCGCCGAGGTACAAAAAGCCGTCTTCTCCACCAGCGACGAATTTGTCAAACCCGTTGACAAACACATCGGACGACATTATTGGAAGCTGAAAAAACAAAATTCAAATCTTTTAATTCTTCATCATCAGATTAAACCTAAAAACCATATTACTAGCCTAAAAAATTAATTTGAAGCCGATTGTTACTTGTAAGCCTAAAACTTCATTTTTAAGCCTAAAAATCTCATTTTTAAAGCTGTAATTTCATTTTAAGCCTAAAGCTTAATTTTTAAGGTTATAGTTCGGTTTTAAGCCTAAAATTTCATTTTAAACAGAAAGTTTCATTTTAAGCCTAAAATTATTTAAAAAAATCATTCTTAAGTCTACAAATTCAATTTTAAACCTAAAATTCATTTTTAATCCCAGAGTTCACTTTAAGATCCGTAAACCCCCATACAACCCTAAAGTTAAGCCCACTCAAACCTTACATTCTTCTTAGCGCCAGTACCAATAAGAGCCTCTTTATGAGTGGGTGTGATCATGCTTTCCAATCCCCACCAACAAACGATGCCATCCATTGAGGTGGTCATCATACTATGTGAATGATTCGTTCCAACCACATGCATCCCATTTACAGCTTGTGTATGGCCTCTGGCGCTGATTTGACTCCTTGACACTGGAATCTTGCGGTTGTTACGCATGTCCCATACACAGATTTGGCCCGTTTCGCAGCCACCGATTACCAGCTTTGGATGAAAACGGGAGAAACATATCGACCGGATTCTGTCGTTCGCGTGGAAGACAAACCTACAATAGTTATAAGTTAAAATGAAATGTAAAGAAAGTTGTTGCAATTTTGTGTTTTTTAAAGAAAGTTCTTGCCATTTTTTGTTTTGTAAAGAAAGTTCTTGCATATAGTTTTGTAAAGAAAGCTCTTGCCATTTTTAAATTTGTGAACAAATTCATCGCCATTTCCCAACTAAAAAAGCCCTAAACCTACTCCGGTGAAGGCGTAGGTATAGCCGTATTCCAAATATTGATGATTCCAGATGGTCCACCTTTGCCATCAGCGTCTCCATTCACGGCGACGGCCAAGAGTTCAGGATGGGCTTCGCAAAACTCCACACATCGGCCTTGTTGATTGTTCAAGTAGGTATCGTTGTTGAAGGTTGATTTTAGTGTCAACAACGCGTCTGACCGTGCGTTTTCCATGTCTTGGCCATAATCAGCTAAAGAATCATATTCTTTATCAGTTGCCATTACTCTTTCCAACATTCTTGAGGCTTGGTGAACGAACTTTTGGAATCTTTCGTCTTTCGTGATGGCTTCCTTCTCTTGTTCTGTTAGAGGTGGCGGCTTCTTGGCTTGTACAACATGCTCTTTCTCGACTTCTGGCTTTTCTCGCTGAAACGGTAGTTAAAAATTAAATTTTAAACCTAAAAATAAAATTTAGGCTTAAAAATGAAACTTAAGCTAATAATGAATTCTAAATGATATTCTCACCGTATCATTGCCCTTCACCGTGCCCAAGATCTTGTCGATGGCCAAACTTCCATCCAGATCAAAGTCAATAGTGTCATGTCGTCCATCCATACTCAAGTCATCGAACTCAAAGCCATCGGCCGAGCCTGTGCTAAAGTTATCAGCATGTGTGTCCACTTCCACCGTTTGAGTGACTTTTGAGTATTTGACGTCATTTTTGGGCTGTACACTTATACTTGATGTATGTACAATTTCAAACAATGGTCGTCGGTTTAGATTTATGTCCTGAAAATTTGTAATAAAAGAGTTAAAAGCGGAAAATGTTGTTTTAGGTAATAAAACACTCATATTAAACTAGAAGGTACCAAAAATGTTGGTTTAGGAGCTAAAAAACTTATATCACTCAGTAATTCAATAAAACCAACTTTGACAAACCAAAAACGACATTTTTTGACAAAAAAATCAATTTTATATTACACTAAGCAATTTAACACCAAAAAGACCTTTTCCAACCAACAAAACATATAAAACAACCTTTCAGCTTACAAAACAGTCACTAACACCAATATCTACATCTACCAACTACTTAAATAATAACGAAAATCCATAACTCATCAAAACCTTCAATATAAACCTAAAAATCAATTACAATATCAACAAAAATATTGAAAAACCGCAGAAAGAAACCAAAGAAAATGTTAAAGATGAAGAAAAACACAAGATTACAAAACAAAACAATAAACACAAACCAAAGCAACAGGCTCATCGTTAGCTTCATCATTTATTACTCTGTGTCCATTTGACGCGAGAAAATTCGGCGCCGAAGCATTGGCCGGCAAACTGGCCGAGGGCGCTATGCCAACCTCGGCCAACAGCTGGTCCATGTCTTGTGTTGAAGAGACTTGACGTATACCATTTCCTGTAAATTAAAATTTTAAAATATTAGAAAAAATTGATCGTTGAGATAAAAGTCTCGTTTGACAAAAGTGGAGTTAGGCAAAACTACTGTAACTTAAAAACTTAATTAAACCTTAAAATCTTTTTTTTCACCTTAGTTAAAGCTATTAATGATCTAATATCTCAGAAAGTTTCAGTTTCCTAACTACCTTTTTAAAAAAGCTATGGCTGAAACAAGGTGCCTGGCCTGCAGGTACTACAATATAATCCATTTCTTGCCAAAACAAACCGTATTTTAGCTTTAAAACACTTCAATATTTCTTATATACTATTTTAATCCCTCACTCGTCTATTAGAATACCTAAAATTAAAAAAAAATAACCAAATCTTTACCGTTCTCCGCCGCTGTTCCATTCAACCTATTAGGTGTAGCCGGCATGGTTTGTCGGGCTGCATTCCTCATCTGACGCTCCATCTTTAGCCTAGCCAGCTCGGCCTTTTTGAGCTCGAGCTCTTGCTGTCGACGAGCAGCCTCGTTCACCATTTTAGACCTAAAACAAAATAAATATTAAAAACAAGCTTTAAAAACTATAACAACTTCATTTAGATAAATTGATCGAGGAATGACTAAAACGGCTAAAAGTTTATATAACTTACATAACAAATGTCTAAACGTCTTTTTATTACAATGAGTCACGCAGCAAAGTAATTTGTAACCGATTAAAATCTTTAAACACACTTACATCAAAACAATGGCACACATTCCTTAAAACTAAAACATCTAATCAACCCTTCACATTTTTTGTCAATCAATCTCAAATAGAGCAACAAGAAAATCACGTTACAGAATCGAAAAAAGATTATCACCAAAAAAAATGGCCTTAAAACGCCCTATTTTCAAAACTTTTTGACCAAACCATATTCACCATTACGTTTCCAAGCCGTCGCGCATTATCTAATGTAAATTTTGGTGAAAATAGATGGAAAATAGGCCTTGGAGTCCACATTCTTTTGACTTTGCTCAATTTCAGCCTCGCAAAGATAAAAGAAGTTTTTTTCGTTCAAAAAGAGGGAGAACAACGAAACAGATGACACACAAGCAATTGTGCGTCAAGTATCGCTCTATAATTCGCGGCCCGACAAAATTTAGTTTTCTAGTATTTATTTCATAATCATGTAGATTACTGCGTGGTTCTGTTCGTGTTTTTTGTAATTTCGTGATAAATAGCTTCTTATATAGTATTCACGTCTATTTTTGACATTATTTTCTTTTAGTTACCATTAAAAATGGGAGATCGAGTGAAAAAGAACTGGCTAAAGCCGCCAAAACAAGGAATTCCAAAGGGCGCTCTTGGAGTGTTGGTTACTGTCGAAGGAAACGAAAAAGCTGCTGTTCGCGAATTCTACAACCTCATTGACACTTTTGTTGATGCTGAAAAGCAAGCTGGAAGGATTTATTACGAAAAGGAGAAGGAGGAAGATTCTCAAAGCAGTACCTGCGACGCTGCTGATGAATTGGCCGCGGAATTGGCGGACCTGAAGGATAAGAAGTTGAAAACTGATTCTTCAGGATACTCAAAACCTAAACAGGTATGCTTTTGTGGGTTTTATTAAGATTTTCATGTTTAGTTCCCCACCAACGTCAAAAACATATTGTTCTTCCAAATGCCGTGTACCCCTGATGAATTGTACGAGCTTGGCCGGAAGTTTATTGAGAGATGTCAGGAGATGCGATGCTGTAGATATATTGCTAGATGTACTCCATTTGAGAATGTGATTGATGCGGACGAAGAAGCTTTGGGTAATGCTTTGGGCAGAGTTATTGAGAAGCATTTTGGTCTTGCAAAGGACAAAAAGGACACGTACAGCTTAGAATTCAAGGTAAACTTTTTTGTTTTGTCTTTATTATATAGGTAAACGTCTTATGAGGATGTTTATAACATTCTTTTCAACAAAACATTGGCCGGAAAGCACTAATTTTTAAAAATGTTATAGCAGACACCTTAACCTTGTTCAACTTTGAATTAACCTCAATAACTTTTAGGCCAGATGCAATGACAAGTTGAAATTCGATCAAGTCCTCAAAATTGTTGATTTTCACATGGCAAACTTTGCTCCACTATCCAAAGTCAACTTGGGTCAACCAGACAAAACTATTGTTGTTCATGTGGTTCACAAAGCTGTTCTAGTTGGATGTATTTCTAATTACATGGACCTTCGCCGATATTCGGCAAAACCAAAAGCTGGAGATGACTCGAGTGTGGATGATGAAGAAGAAAGACGTCGGAAGGAGGAAGAAGATGAGAAGTTTGCCGGTGTCACCAAGTTTTTGGCCGAACAAAAGAAGGCCGTGGAGGTAGAGCCTAAGAAAATTTCTTGTATAGTTCAGTAGAAGAAGCATTTTACTTTACTATGGTTTTTATAGTAAAGTTAAAGCTACATTATATTTTTCATTATATATTTTCACATTATATTTCAATTTTATATGGTTAGCAGAGAGCAGCCTTTAATTCACTATAGCTCGTAGTTAACTAACGCGTTGAAATTTGTTGAAAAAGTCTGAAAATTAAAAAAATTGTTGTCAAAAGTCTTGTTCAGATCAAATAATGTTGCTTATTTTTGTTTTGAGTCTAAATTTAGTAATTTTAAAATATTTTTGTTGAATTACATTTTTCGTCTTAAAAACGGGTCTTTTTGTCAAGAAAAGTTGTTATAGTCTAATTGTTGAACTGTTTTTTGGAAATAAAATTGAAAAGAAACCAATTGTAAGATTTAAAGATAGATTCTTCAAATTACAAATGAAATTTGGGCTTCGAAAAAGAATTATAGGCTTGAAAATTAAATTTAGGCTTAAATGTGAAATTTTAGGCTTAAAAATTAAAATTATGCTTAAAAACGAAACTAGGCTTAAAAACGGTTTCAAGACTTAAATATAAAGACTGTTTCAGGAAAGGAAACGTTTGAAAGCAGAAGCCGAAAAGCTAAATGAATCCAACCAACGTATACGACTTCCAAAGTTACACAAACGCTACATGAAAATGTATTCGGAAATGGCGGACGATGTGGAACACATTCCTCGACTTCGTGATCTGAACCTGAACCCAGGCGATTTAAGCTATGGAATTGTACCTGAACGCAGGTATCAATCGCAAAGCTCGAACGGAAGTTATCAGGATTCAATCAGAGGTTATCGTCATTCACGGTCACAGAGCTCCAGTGAAGGACGTCAGAATGCGAATTCATATGGCAGTTGTCAGTATCTGAGCGATCGAAACTGGAACCCTCGACATCAGGCTGCAGGACGTCGTTTTAATGGGAGGTACCAACATTCTACGTCTTTCAACGGTGGTTGCCGTCAGAATTCACGAAATCAACATCCGAAGTCTCAGGATCCAAATTCACTGAATCAAGAGGTAAGTTTTGAGAATCTCAATTACGATTTATTGATTCATGATGTTAATTTATGGAATCTAAATTCAGAATTGAAGTTTAGCATCGATTTGTTCTGAATCCGAATTCGGATTCTCATAAACACGATTAGTCTTGAATTCAGTTCAGTAAAAAATTAATTTTTTCAGAATCCAAACCTTCAAAACCAAGATTCAGATCTTCAGAATATGAATCCACCTTTCCACAATTCGAATCCTCAAGATCTGCCAGCTCAATCTCAGAATTTCCAGAATCTGGACCCAAACTACGAGATGCAAGGCTCTCCCTATCTCCAAAACCCCAATCCTCAGCTGAACATGACATACCCTCGCTACGGCGCGCCTTACGACGTCCTAGACGATTTGAACATTATCGACTACGAGAACCGCTACTGGCGCGGCTTTTTCGTCAATACCGGCAAAACTCGACACAAGTTTGCCAAACCTTCGTATGAGTAGATCACTGGGATGTTGGTGATTGGGATTCAGAAAATCGACTGGGACATAATGTAATTGATGAAAACAGGCAGAATTGACCAAAACCTCAAAAAACAGGAATATCGCATGTTATCATAGGCTTTCCTTTTTGAACTCTGTTGTTCTGTTATAAAAATTGTTAGTTTCCTGTTTTTATTGTTGTGTTATGTTTCTCTAGGATTTCAGGCTTAAAAATATTGTCTTACCGATGTTACACATGTCACTTCAGGGTTTTAAATTCTGCTTTATCTTTTTTAGTCGTTTCCCTAGGCTTTAATTTGCTCTTATCGATGTAAAATTGTCAACTAGCCCAATGTCATTTTCTTGGTTATATATTGATGTTTTAAGAGTATCAACGGGTATTTTGTTCAGTTTTGAAATGTTTTAACTTATTGTTAGAATGTTAAAAATTTTATTTTTTCATGTTGATCACATTTTATGTGTTGTAGTTGTCACATTTTGTTGTATTTTGAAACGTTATTCGAATAAACTTCACCGAAGAACTATTTATTTAAATCTTTGAAGACGTTTTATTACCTAAAATGCATCAGAAGCACAAAGAACTCGGATTTATCGGCCATTCTTTAGGTTAGCGGCTAAAACAATATTTTTAAAGGACTAAAGTCTAAAATTCAATTTATAAACCAAAACAAAGTCAAAAGAAGGCCCTAATTAACATATTCGGAACTCGGTCAGCCATAAAATCAAATCTTGTCATGTAAGAATCTTTGTTTAGTTCCCCCAATCAAAAATAATATCAAGACATATGCGGCAATCTGAACTGCGATTTGACGTAAAACCATTTGTTTATGACATTCTTTCTCTAATGGCCTTATTTCCTTCGAAACAATGAAAACTAACCGCACACCGCATAAAAATTGAAAATAGAGAAAAATGAAAATTTCGCTTGCGCCCAATTTTAGTAAATTTCGACGAAATTTGTATTTTATGCTATTGTAAAAACCGCTGTAATAAGAAAACGGTTGTAACCGTTTTTTACCTTTTTTATTCAAAAATCAAAAAGGTTTTGGCAAAAAACAAAAAATTTCATAAAAATTGAGCAACATTCCAGAAAAAACGTCATAAAGTGCAATTTTACAGAATTTCTCGAAATTTTTCGTTTTTTGGTCGAAAATCTGTTGAATAGTTGTTTTTTGTTTTATTTTAGGTATTGAAATGGGGAAACAAGACATTTTAAAAGCAAAATTTGCTTCAGTTTCAAAAGTGGAAATCAAGTCGGAAATATCAGAAAATGTCGCGGAAATCGTAAGTTATTTCTTTGCCTTGGTCTGTATTTAGGTAACCATGTTGTGGATAATATGTAAACTAAACCTGCGCATCTTTTAAGCATAATCCAAACCTTCAAAGCTCATGCAAAGCTCCAGCAAAGAAGCCGAAAAGCGATGTTGTAGTAGCTGACCTCAACCCTCAAACTCCAGCCAATCCTCCAAAGAAAAAGGAGGAAAACGATGTTGTCGTAGCTGATCAAAATCCTCAGACCCAGACGAATCCTCCTCCGAAGAAGAAAAAGCGAAGAACGGCCATTTGTGTATCTAAAAGAGGAAAAAAGAGAAAACAAGCTGAAGATGTAGATGAAGAAAAAGAATATCTCGAATTTGTGGATAGATTATCATACAATGACAAGATGTTTCACTACAGCATGCGGCCGAAGTTTGAAACTACAGAGGAGGCGGAAAAACGAATTGCAGATGAATTTGAGCGACTTTTCGTTACCGCCGGACCAGTTTACTTTGGCAAGGAAGAACATCAATATTGCATGCTCTGTAGTGCCATAATTACTAAGATGGAGGACACTGTGCTGGATGGAAAGGTCTGCATGTAAGTTTTCAATGCTTTCTCTAGGGCGTGCTGACTAAAAAAAATTTTATCAACAAAATTTTAATTTTGATATAGTAGGTTATGGTGTTATTACTGTAACTTTTGAAGTTTTATGACTTTTCTATTTTTTGTTTTTACTTTAGTTGGCAATATGAATGAGCTACAATAATACATGTTTTTCAAGTTGTTATCTTTATTTTTACAAAAGTTGTGTTGAAAAGAAGGTAATGACTCAGTTTAATTTACCTTTTTTCTCAAAAAATTTGATTTTATTGGCTTTTTGGACATTTTTTGCCTATTTTCCTGACTAATTACTAATAAATGTTACTTTTCAGAAAATGCTACAACAATGCCGAATGCACATATGTAGAGCGAACTCCAGATTTCAACGGAAAACTAAAAGATATAGTCGATGGAGCTTTGTTCATTCTCCGTTCTTTACTAAAACAAAGTGAAGCTTTCAACAAAGAAGGCTACCAACTAATGCCAGTACAATATGTTCCGATTGTCAATGAGCACGGCTACGTACTGGAAACGGACACTTTCCCGAAATGGTACACCAGAGATGGCAATATGTTTAATGATCCAGGTGCATGTGGAAGATGTGCCAGATACAGAAAAGCTGCTGCCGGACTTTGCGACATTTGCAAGTCCAGAAGAGATACGAAGGCCGAGAGTAAATGCTTCTTTTGTAATGCACCGGTAACAAATATTCGGATGACTATTGGAGAGGCTATGTGCAAGTAAGTTTTTGAGGGGGGGGGGTGGATAGGGGGTATTTTTGAATTTTCTGAAGGGGTATGTGGCTGCTGGTTCGAATACTTGTATAATATTTGTATATTAGAGGTATGTTTATATAAAGTACTCCAAAATGTTAAGGGCGCAGCTTGTAAAGGCTCTTTATTATTTTACTATTTGATTCTTATTGTAACATAATTTTCAGAAAATGCATGAAAATTCCTTGCAAGCCCCTAACCCATCCCCAACACACTTCACGTCAGATTCTGCTAAAAGTCAAGGACAAGCGGATCGACCAATTGAAACGAAGAGCAAGACAACGAAAAGCACGTTTTCGTACCAAGCCAAAACTAACTAAAGGAACTACACTCAAAGAATTTGAGAAAAAAGTCTTGATCAGACAGGAACAAGAAGCGGAACGACAACGAGTCGCTCGAGAAGAGCGAATTCGTCAACGTATGGCCAAGAAAGGCGATAAGTATGAGAGTCCATTGGTGGAAATTAAAGAGGAGGAGGAAATTGAGGCAGGTTTTTGGAATTTTTGTTTAAAATTTTGAAAAAAATATGGGCGGGGTAATTTTTTAGGGGGGGGGGTGGGATGAAATTTTTTTTTAGAATTTGTATATTTTATGACTAAGGAACTTCAGGATTGTTATCGAAAAAAATTTTTTTGGGGGGAGATGCACAAATTTTTTTTAGTTTTTTAAAAATTATATTATGTACCTGGTACAGCGCTGAGCCCTAGGTCCATAATTTTAGTTTTTAGTGTGATGGCACTGTTTTTAAACTCACCTTTCAATTTTAGTGGTCATTCGTCTAACGTACACTCTATGATTAACACGGATGCTCAACATCCAATGTTCAAATTCCTTAACCAACTTCATCATCCTCTACCCAATACTCTTCTAATGTTACTCCTTGTTAAACAAATCTAATTTGGAAGAATTTATATTATATATAAGAAAATATTGTCATAAGTTGTCTGTTATCTCAAACTTTTCTTTTTTGTTACTGTATTAATCAATTTCTTGTTACAATTTATGTTATATTTGGCAATAAACTGTGCTTCCGGACATTGAGTGTGATTTTTTTATTTGTTTGGAACTTTTCAATATTTCGGGATTGTTTAGCCGTTTTGTTTTGTGAATCTTAACTTTAAAAGAGTAGGATTGGGCTTTAACGGTTGGGCTTAACTTTAGATTGTTAAGCTTGGAAGGCTAGGCTTACGTTTGAAACACTAGGCTCATTGGAAGAGTAGGCTTAAGTTGAAAAGACAAGGATTACGCTGGAAAGGCTATTTTTAGACTTGGAAAGCTAGTCTTACGTTTCAAAGTCTTGGCACAGACTTGGAAGACTAAGCTTAGACTTTGAAGGCCAGTCTTAAGTTTGTCAAACTAGGCGCGGTTTTGGAAGTCTAGGCTTAATTTCGGAAAGACAGACTTGAGTTTAAAAGGCTTAGGCTTCTAAGGCTACGTGAAGTCTAGGAAGACTATGCTTAGAAATTGAAGGCGAGGATTGGGCTAGTAAGCTTCAGTTTTAGCTTATTAAGCTAGGAGTCGAATTATAGGCTTATGCTTGAGAGATAAGTTTTAGTCGTGGAAGTCTACGTTTGAGCTTGGAAGGCTTGGCGCAGGTTTACAAGTCTAAACAGTACTTCTGAATATAAGCTTATAAAATGTCTGCTTTAGACTTGGGTCAGGCATGTTAGTTTAGTCTTTGAAGTTTAAGTTGGCATAAAAATTTTATGAATACTCGATAACGGATAGGTAATTGCAACAACTTTCGCTTCTTCCCGAATGTAGGTGACCTGCGATTAGCCGTCGGTCCGAAGGCGCGGAAAATGTTTCTTATCAAAGATAAGAGAAAGTTGGATGTCCGACCCAATTCCGACGGCAGACTTTCACTTTTCGCCGCGGAATTTCAAAGTTTTTTTTCGATATTTTTGGGTTTCAAAAATTTATCTTTATATTGGCGTGACACCTTTTTTAAAAAGGTAACGGAAATTAAAGTGTTTTGAGGTTTAGTTTTTTTGCTTAGGTTAAGTAGGGTTAGGCTTAGATACGGAAAGCTAGGTTTGGATTTAAAAGTCTAGTATTAGGCTGGGAATTCTAGGCTTAAGCTTAGAAGACTAGGCTTGCAAGACTAGGCTTAGGCTTGTAATGCTAGGCTTAGGCTTGTAAGGCTAGGCTTATACATCTAAGGTTAGGTTTAGGCTTGTAAGGTTAGGCTTAGGCTTGTAACGCGAGGCTTAGGCTTCTTAGGCTAGGCTTAGGCTTCTAAGGTTAGGCTTAGTCTTGAAAACTAGGCTTAGACTTTGAATTCGTTAGTATGGAATTTTAGGCTTAAAATTGACAGCTTAGGTTTAGATTTGGAAGGCTAGATTTAGGCTTGGAAGGCTAGGCTTAATTATGGAGGGCTAGGCTTAGAAAGCTAGGCTTAAGCTTAGAAGGCTAGACGTAGACTTGGAAGACTAAACTTATATTTTGAAGTTTAGGCTTAAACTTGGAATTCTAGGCTTAAGCTTAGAATGTTGAGCTTAGTTTTAAAATCGTAGGCTTTGAAGGCTAGTTCAAGCTTAGAAAGCTGGGCGTAAGCTTGGTAGAATAGGTCTAGACTTTGAAGGCAAGTTGTCTTGGAAAGCTGGTTTCAAATTTGGAAGTTTTGGTTTAAGTTTGGGAAGCTAGGTGTAGGCTTGGGAAAGCTACGCTTAATCTTGGAAGGCTAGGCTTAGGGTTGGAATCGTAATCAAAAGACTTATGTACAGTATAATGTTTCTAAATTTTAAAAGTTTTAAAAAATGTAGTGACTATGATGTTGAAAACCGTAATGTCATTCCACATTATACTTTCACTTTTATTCCCGATGTTGTGAAACCTGTGTAATCTCGGGTTTTGTCAATTATCGCTTATAAAGTTTGCGGCGCAAAAACTTTTCTTTTCGCCGGATCCGTTTTCAGAAATGGAGCCTTTCCAGTTTAAGCCGCCTCGACTTTAATCGATTTTTACACGTACAATTCGGCAGTATTATTGTAAGGTAGTTACTAATAATTCAGCTTTTTAATATTTTTGACGTTTTGTATTTTGAGCATAGGTTTTAGATTTTTGTGTTTTTGTAAGCGTAGGGCTATTTTAGGCTTATTTTTAGTCTTTCTTTTTGTTAAAGCATGTATAACATGTAATTTTTTAAACCTAGAAGGCTTAGGTATACAAATGTTAGGCTTAGAAGTCTTATGCTTAGAAGACACAGGCTTGCAAGGCTTAGGGGCTTAGAATGCTTAAGCTTAGAACTTTTAGGTTTAGAAGGCTCAGACTTACAAAGCTCAAGCTTAGATGGCTTAGGCTTACCAGGCTTATGCTTAAAAGGCTTAGAAGGCTTAGGCTTATAAGGCTTAGGCTTAGAAGGTTTAGGCTTAGAAGGCTTAGGCTTAGAAGGCTTAGGCTTAGAAGGCTTAGACTTAGAAGGCTTAGGCTTAGAAGGCTTAGGATTAGAAGGCTTAGGCTTGGAAGGCTTGTCTTATGCTTGGAAGGCTAGACTTGGTCTTGGAAAACTAGGTTTATGTTTAGAAGTCTATGGCTTGAACGACATAGACCTAAAAAGTTACGATTAAGCTAGGAAGAATGGACTTACAAAGCTTAGGTTTACAAGGCTTAGCAGGCTACGGCTGGAACGGCGTAGACGTATCGTAGAAGGCTAGGATTATGTTGGGAAAATATTTTAAAGTTTAAAAATGGTTTATATTATACAGAATTTTTTAATTTACTGTATTGTGTATAGGGGAGGTGATTTCAAATTTGCTTTTTATACAGGAATTTTGATTTAGAGAAGCTCGTGATACTGTAGTTTTACTGTATCTTGATTTGCTACTTTGCTATTTTGTTCACCGAGAGACCTAAACTTTTGAATTTTTCGAAATTTTATTTGAAAAAGGATAATTTGCAGGATTCCAACCATAATTTTAAGTTTCAGGAATTTTACAGCCCAATTAACAGGCACGAAAAGAGCAGCAGGCTAAAACTTTCTTTTCTCTACAAAAATAGCGAAAAGTCGGATCGGCGACGTCTTTAAACGCTCCGTTCACGTGCTTGACCTCAGGGGGAATCCAAAATACAGCGCCAAAAGCGAAAGTTTTTTGAGGAAATTCGAAAAAAAATGAAAAGATTTTTTAATTGAAACGATTTTTTGATTGGTTTTTATTAATTGATGGGTTTTGTGACATTTATGATTGTTTCTGTATGTGAAAGCCTTTTTTGTCATTGTTTTGTTAGGAGATAATTATGGGTATGGCTGATGGTTTTTTGGGTTTATGGGGGATTGAAATTAGGTGGAGAGGAGGATCGAACTGGGTGGGGAGAGGGAGAGCTGGATTTATACTATTTTGGTTCTATTTTAAAAACTTTTAAAAAATTTTTAAAGGTTTTGTGAATATTTAAAAAAATTTTTTTTATATATTGTAGTAGGTCTTGTCTGTTCTGTTTTTAAATATGCTGCCACAAATAAAGTGGAACTTTTGACCAAAATTTCCGTCAGCAACTTTTGAATCATTGCCTATTACTACCCAGTGCATTTGATGCAGTATATGTCTAGAAACGTCTTGATAACGAACAAACTGATTATTTCCAAGCGGTATTTTATACAGGAGGTCTACTGAATTTTTTTTATATTATAATAGGTTGAACTAAAAGTAGTGGGACGCTTTTTAGTTGAAAAATAAATGAAAAGTGTCCCAGTACTTTTGATTCAACATAACAGTAAGTTCGACCTAACAGGAGGCCTTTCTGTCCGTTTTGTTTTAAATTGTTTTGTCACAAATAAGCCTAAAATTCATTTTAAAGCTTTAGAGCCATTAAAAACCTTTTAGCTTTAAAGTTTAATTCTTAAACTGAAACTTAAATTTTATTTGATGTTTTTTAATTCCAAAATCGAATTTTAAGTTTCAACTTTAAGTTTTAAGACATATATTTCAGTTTGAAGTTTAAAAACTTATTTTTATGCCTAAAATTTATTCTAAAGCCTTAAAGCCATTTTTAAGCTTAAAATTTTATTTTCAAGATAAAAATTTTATTTTGATGTTCATCATTTGTTTTGTCTTTCTTTAGACCCACAGGTACTGTACACAGGGCCCATGCCGGCACTTTTGGTCTGTTTTGTGAAAAATTTTTTCCTAAAAATCCACAGGGGGGGGGGACCACGTTCAACTTTTTCAAATTTTTTTTCGACGGTACCTCTTCCTCTGTCTTTCTCCCCCCCCTCGTGCCCGGCCCTGACTGAACATATGATTTGTTTCGGATTGGCTTTGGCAGAAATGAGGAATCTACTCCTATTTACCATTCTCATTCATTCCTCAACAATAAACAACATCCGCAAACCCAAAAACGGTTCGGTTTTGATTCGCACAGTTTGCAACAACTTTCTTTCCGCTTCGATTTGATGTCATTTTGAGGAATGGGTTTTTCGTGAAATTTGAATAATTTCACGCTGTGATTTGCAATTTCGGTTTGAACCGATTTAAATTCCGAACCCCATGGGGATTATCGTCTTTTGGTTCCGGCTTTCGAGTCATCGTCGCCTTCGGAAGCTCGCGAGGCGGAGCTGAAAAAACGTTTTGAAATTTTTGTGGGTATGGCACTGTTTTGGGGGATTTTGGTACAATCTTTTTGATATTTTAGTCTTGTTTTGGTACTGTTTTTAAGTTTACTGGTGCTTTGCTTGTGCAGTCGGGCCGGTCTGATTTTTCAGTTTGAGCTGAGCTCCTGAGGTCTTAATTGAGGGTCGGCACTTTTCAAATTTGCTTTGGTCTGGCGAGGTCTAGTGTGCTTCTTT